GGTTAGGATATCCGGCTCTCACCCGGAAGGCCCGGGTTCAATTCCCGGTATGGGAAACAATTGCGGATAATTTTTTAATATTATTTGTGTTTTTCTTTTTAATATAATTTGTAATTTTTATTAAAAAGTTTGCTTAATTATTGTTGTTTTGAGATCTTGACCATTTTCTAAGCTCACTCTCGTCATAAGATGATTTTTCGAAATTATAATCCATGCAAATGTATCTAAGCAAAAGTTTCGAGTTTTGTCGATACATTATTTACTTATTATTAATTATATTCATAATTTATAAAGATTTTCTAAGTTTAATATTTTTGATTTCCAAGCAACTGGCTTGTTTATAAGAAAACCTTAAAGAACAATTGCCTGGACTTAATCAAGTCCCATATTGTCTAGTGGTTAGGATATCCGGCTCTCACCCGGAAGGCCCGGGTTCAATTCCCGGTATGGGAAACAAGCAGGACGAATGTTTTTTTTTTAGCATTTAAGATAACATTCTTTTATGTTGATCTTTTTAAAGTCCCTTTTGAAGACAACATGTAATAGAGGATATTAATTTTCTTTATTCAACAGAAGAATCAATAATTTTGTAATGTCAACTTATGTTTTTAGTTTTAAAATTATATCCACCTATATTTAGGACTTGGCAGATACAGTGAGAAAAATTGTGACCTGTAGATCTTACCAAGTCCCATATTGTCTAGTGGTTAGGATATCCGGCTCTCACCCGGAAGGCCCGGGTTCGATTCCCGGTATGGGAAACTTTTTCGCCCTAGTTTATCTGCCCTCTGTTATTCTAACCACATTTTTCAGTCCTCTTGACTTTGTTTTTTGTGGACCACCTACGAATTGGGCAGTCCAAAGAAATTCCGTTCCGTTTGCTGTTCTAAATCTAAGAAATCTCGTCTCGACATCAAGAGCAGCTTCTGCTCCATTCTTCTGTTGAAATTGCGCAAACAACAATGGCCATGGAAGCTATCTCTCTTGTGGTTTAAATTTTATGTTGAACGTTTTATGGTCCAAAGGGGGGGGGTCCGTCTGCCGGGTAAGGGCAAGTGTTTCACACAGTAAACACAAGTTAATGAAATTAAAACGTAAGCAGCAGCAGACACACACAAAAACGCAATAAACACAAAAGAAATTACAATTAAATTGAAAGCCCAAAGAGAAAGACCAACCAGCCGCTCCTCACTCCCCGGCCACTGCAGCTTGACATGCAATCCGAATGGAAATGAACTTTGAAGCCCTCGCGGCCTGCGTGGGTCGTCTTGGTGGGCTGTACTCCCCAGCCCAGCTCCTCGGCTCCTCAGTTTCCCAGTTTCTGGGCTTGAGAACTTCAAGTTGCCGGCTATCGCGATGCTCCACTTGCCCCCCTCTTCGCATTTTTCTCCAGCGGATGGCGTGCGCGACTTTTAATCGCATTCGTTTCAATTGTTGGAATTTTATTGTGAAACCGGCTAAGACTTTGGGCGTCAAAGCCTGCCTTCCAGCCACCCCATTCGCCCAGCTTTCCACGTACAAAAATATATATCTTTCATAACGCTTCATTATCGGTCTCCCCACATATCTCAAATGCGAAAAGAAACCTTTGAAGAAATTAAAAAAACAAAAAAAAAAAAGTGAAAACCTTTCCCAGAGATGATGATGGGTCACAGTGAAAGGCCTTCATGGATGAACACTGTGCAGCAGGAAAATATTAAAAAATATCGATTGTATAATATCAATATTAGTAATAATGTATTATAATATATAATCATCTCGGAAATTCTAAAAATATCGATAAAGCCCTCTAAGAAGCATAAAAGAAAAGGAATTAATAACTATTAATATTAATTTATAATCATCTTGGAAATTCCAAAAAACTATCTATTAAGACTTCTTGAAAATCATAAAAAAAGAAATTAATCAATAACTGATAAAATTGATTATAAACAATTTATTAACCATTGGCATTGGTAAACGAAAATTTTTTTAAATCCTGGTAAAAACATAAAAAAAAGGTTCAGAATGTTCGAACTTTCAGTCTTGTTTTTGGCATTTTCTTATTTATTTATTAGGTAATTCAATATATAATATCCCCAACAATTCCCTCGGTGTATAGATTGCACATAACTTTTTTCTTTGATCCCATCGTAACCCTGCGTAAGAGCCACCCACCTGGTAAACATTTTTCAATTATAGTTTTATAATAATTTTCTCGTCATTGTTGGTGTACGAGTGGTAGTAGTTCGTGTTCATTGTCTGTTCGTTTTTGTTATTGTAGCGTTTTGTTAATGTAACTTTCTTCGTTATTCTTTCACTTTTTGACCCGCCCACTGGCGAGCTGTGGGGCTGCCAACTTGTTTTTCATAACTTTTGCTCTCGACCCAAGGCATTTAAGCCGCATTGTAATTATATATTTTTTCAGTACATTTCTCTGCTATCGCCACTTCTTTGGGTGGTGGGGCTGGTGCACCCTGCGGCTTCAGTAATTAAATTTGTTTTTTTGTCTCTGCTTCCCCTTTAATTTTCCAATTGCAACTCCGTATTTGCCCTCGGGAGGAAATCTTTTTCCCTTCCATTTCCCAGAAATTGTATAATAATTTTAAATGTGTTTCAGCCAATTTAGTTTGCCCATTGAACTGCATAAATCAATAAAGACAAGTACCTCAAAAAATGGTTGGGAGACACACCGAAACACACACACATATGTACAAATATATATATTTGATAAACTAAAGAAAGTTGGGGGAGCGAGCAAATAACGCAAACACAAATAGTCGTCAGCATTATGTAAATGAAATGTTTGCCCAATGCAAACACAAAATGCGGTCGGACGACTAAGGAAATCTAGAACAGCAGCTCAAGGAGCTCACTGCAAAAATATATATTGGATAAAGCAATTACCACCCAAGGTTGGGCAAATAAAAGCGATATGTTTGGCAAGGTAAAATATGTAAATAGCTTAAATAGCAGCTAACAAAAATAGTAATTGGAAAATATGTAAATGGCCCAAGATGCCTGCCTGGCTGACACTTTCATTAACATTTATATCTTAGCAGAAAGGATAATGGCTAAGAGCTTCTGTGGCCTTTAATTGCATTTAAATACATAATTCTTAATGGGAAATTTCTTAATAAACTTGAGATTTTTTTTAAAATTATTTTCCATATTAAATGATTGTTTAATAAGTCTGTTTAAGTTCAAACTCTCTACGATTTTCTCCGTGTATCAAGAAAAATAGTAAAATTATTGGTAGAGCTACGAGCTGCCAAGGAGGTTCCTTGGTTGGTTGGCTTGCATAATCAACCTCAACGGCGAGTTGAACTTCGATTTTTGCCTTTGCCAAATGAGCCAAGCAGGAAGGCAAACAACCAGGGCCAGAAGAAGAGGAGCGAGCAGGGAGGGAGTGGAGCACCGACCGGCACACAGAGGAAGTTCGATGTTTGTTTCAAGGATATTGTGCGTTTCAGTGTCCTGCACACGAACGAACAAGTTGCGTGCCAAGGACAACACGGCAAAGCCGAAAAGCACACACACAAAAAGCAGCAGACCAAGTTGAAAAAAACCAACCGAAGCTACCAGGAATCGATGTTTAAGGACATTAAGGATACACCTGTCGATATTTTTACAGTTTTTGGCATGCGCCTGCCCCTCGGTTTGGGTTCCATTAACCAGTTTGCCAGTTGTGTGCTTGCCAGGATCATTAAGGGGAAGACCAAGAGCAACACTTCCGTCTGCGAAACTCGTTTTTGGGCAACAAACAACACAACTCGGAGGTATGCACGAGGACAACACGACACAGGACCTTTACTCCACCAATATTCCTGTTGTTTTGGGCCAAAGGTAATCACCATTAAAACTCATTACCAAGAGCAACTGCACAGCACTACAACACAAGCGAGGAGAACGCAGGTGGGCAGTCTGCCAGAAGGGAACAGGACGGACACGTCATGGGACCCCCGAAGTGTAAGCAGTCCGGAAAACACCAAAAAACATAAACTAGGCAAAACCAAAACATGCACATAAAGTAGCGAGCCAAGAGACCATTGTACTAGTCAGGATAATAAAAGGAAATACAGGCTGAATATAATGAATAAGTTTACCCATTTCCTCAAATTATAATTCTATAAAACTTCCTGGTAAAGGTTTTCCATTTTCCAAAAATGATTCCTACATTTAATAACCCAAAGTTTCTTGCAATTTTTATTTCAATAAACTACATTTTCGATTCGTCCCACAAACGAACAAGTTATTACTCAATTTTTTACGCTCTTTCTCGAAATTTAATTTCAAGATTTACGATCATAGGCCTGACTGGCTTTATATCCTTCTCGAAAAGCCATGGCTTATTGCAAAATGCCACTTGGCCATTCTTTTGACTTGGCCTGACGCCTTACACTTCGAATAAGAATTCGGAATTCCGTCTTAGTCTCGGGTTCTCTGAACACTTTCGGGGTTGCATTTTGGCCTCCTTGCTTTCTTTCATTTGCTTTTGGTGCTGCGCCGCAGCGGAAATAAATTTGCAAAAAAAGAAATAAATTCTCTCGACTCTTTTATGGCCGTCTAGGGCCATTAAAAAGGGGGGAATCAGCCGGGTGGGAGATGGGAGAGGCCTGGGATAAAGACCTGAATGATGGCGCCTCTGGCGATGTCGAATGTTGAATAAAGTCGTCGCCGTCGTCTGCCAGAAATTGCGCTGCAGTTGTCGTCGTGTCGCAGTGAGACAGGAGACAGGAGGCGCTGAAGTAGAGACAACCTTGAGCTAATTTGGCCATAGCCAGCACCGCATAATCTCCTCCAGCAGGCAGAAAAAATTATTGGGAATTACAACAAATTAATCGTAAATAACAAATTAATTTATATAAAATTCTGGATAGTTTTTCTTTAACTTTTAATTTGTTTGTCAGGCCAAGTTGTAGACTCTAAAATAGTTTAAATATATAACAAGTCCTCTAAGAAATATTAATCATTCAGATTTAGCAATTTCTTCAAGTGTAATTTTGCTTGTTTCCTTCCAGGAGGCCGTCACCGGGGCCAGACAGCAGCATTCCGCTCATCTCACCATGACAGAAGCCATCTCCGTCGTCGCCTCCGCCGCCGGTTCAGTTGCTCCTGCTAAGTGGGGCACCGTCACAAGGCAGACGCCCCAAAAATAGAAGCCCCCATAGACAGGAGGAGGAGAAAAGGCACAGGGAGATGCCGCCCAGTACCGTCTTGCAAATGCCGCCAGCTCCGTCATCCTCATCGTCAGCATCACAATCCGGCCTGGTGCTGGGCGTCTACTGTGACCAGCTGATGGCGGCGACGGCGCCGCATCCGTTGCAGCGAATATCCGGAGCAGCAGCGGCCTCCAAATGGGGGAACAGCAGCAGCCACAAGGAGAAGCATCTGGTCGAGGGGGCGGTCGTCGCTATGTCTTCCAAGTGGATGCCGCCGCCTGTTTTCATTGTCCTGGCCTCGCTCTTGGAGGTGAGTTAGTGGGTTTTTTGGGGCGCCCCAAATGTGACCGCTTTTTAATGCGATTACACACACCCGAGAGGGTTGATTGAGGGTCGTAAAAAGCTACATTTTGGGGTGAAGAAGGTTGCCATGACATCGCTGAAAGGCACAACATTCTGGCCACATTCTGGTGGCGTTTAATTGCCGCCAAATCGAAGTTCCGCCGTTGCAACCCTTGTGGGGATTGGAGACGTTGTAAAGGCCAACCTCTGATCTTTTATGTCTGTTGGCAATTACTTATTATAAGATAAGACTTATGGGGATTATGGGGATTACCTCTTTATTATTATTATTGGCAAAAGGTTTTGCCTTGGTTGCTTTCTGTTAGTTTGAGTTTTTTAGGTTTCTCAAGAACTTCACCAACCTTCAATAAATTCCAATTTTAATTACAGCTTTTTGTATCTAAAACCTATTGTGTACTTTTTTTTTTTGTAATACATTTCAGTTCAATTTCCACTGCTCTCCCTAGTATATAGTACTTGGTCTTGCAGTCACGTCTGCCCTGGGGGGCGGGGCCTTGTCTCGAGCTAAACGAGATGGCCATCGAAGAGGGTTGTTTGCCCGGCCATAACAAAGATGCTGTATCATATTTCAGCCCCATTCCTGCCCCCCAATGAACCCAAGAAACAAGAGTATCGCTTCTCTGGTCGATCTGGTCCAGCAATTGACTTTTAAGGCAAACAAATTGCCGACAGGGCAACACACACACAGACACAAACTGAATACTTATCCCAAGGCCCAGGCCCATCCCAATGCATTTGTAAATGGAAGTTGGCTTCCGGTTAAAGGATATACGAGAAGCCGGGACACACACAGAGAGTGCGTGCAAAAAATCCAACACGTCTACGATTTGTTTTCCGCGTCTGGCTTTTTGCACAGACTGGACGCCGCCAACAGAAGGAGAAGGGGAGTCAGGATGGGGGAGAAAATGGGGAGGAAAAGGAATGAAACCCAAGGGTTCTGGGGGGGAGAATTGATGGCGACGTCTCGTCGCTGTCTGCTGGCAGTCTGCGCCTTTGGGGGGTTGCTTCTGCCGCCCTTTCCCGTCTCAGCTTTCTGTGGGTTTGATGATTTTATTGCTGCCTTTCCTTACTTCCTTCTACTGGAGAATGAATAAGGGGTTCCCCCTTGGACTAAAAAGATTACTTGGTTCGCATAGCCTTTAATTACAAAATTAAACCTGAAAAATAAGAAATAATTTATACTTTCTCTCCTTGATTTATCCCCCAAGATCGCTGTCTTTCTAAGCGTGGGGTTTGAACCACCGGAGGACTCCCTGTTGGTTTATCGTCCCGACCAGCGCCTCCAATTGTGGCGGTTCTTTAGCTATGCCCTGCTCCATGCCAGCTGGCGGCACTTGGGCTTCAATGTGCTCACCCAGCTGCTCTTTGGCCTGCCCCTGGAGCTAGTCCACGGATCTCTGCGTACTGGAATCATCTATATGGCGGGAGTCTTGGCTGGGTCACTGGGCACCTCGGTGGTGGACTCGGAGGTGTATCTGGTGGGCGCCAGTGGCGGAGTCTATGCCCTGCTGGCCGCCCAATTGGTCAGCATCTTGCTTAATTTTGGACAGCTGCGGCAAGGAGTTTTGCAGCTGATGGCCGTGATTGTGTTTGGTGAGTATTCTATTCTGGAGGGGAGGTGTCCTTACCACTAACCTTCAAGTGAAATATTCTCCCCTTTTACTCCTAGTTTTCTGCGATCTGGGCTATTCCTTTTACACCCGGCAACTGGAAGTGCAGCATTTGCAGACACGGCCCTCAGTCTCTTATATTGCTCATATGACGGGAGCCCTGGCCGGGATCAGTGTGGGCCTGCTGCTTCTCCGGCAGCTAGATGGAGGACTGCGTCCACGTCCCCTCCGTTGGCTGGCCCTGGGCGTGTGGTGTCTGTTCAGTGCCTTTGGTGTAGCCTTCAACCTGGTCAACACAGTCACAGCCCAGCTGCTGGCAGAGGAGGAGGGTCAGGTGATCCGTCAGCACCTGATGCATGACCTCGGAATGGGGTGAGAAGAAGCCCAAGACTGCAAGGCTTTAGTCTAGTCACTAGTCGGTAAGACCTATCCCCCAGGAAGGACAGTGTGCTCAAAGGAACGTATATAACATATCGAATATATACTGATATCCCTGCTCAAAATACTCTTAGCCCGTAAGTCCCAACTTGTATCTTATGCCAATGCCAAAGGAGTGCGGAGAAGGAGGAGAGTTGCTCAAAGGCCTTTCAAGAACTGAGCCTGGCTCACATCAAAGACTTAGGATCGGGTTTGTGTCGCTATCTGACCGAAGATGGACACTCGTCCATCCGGTTGCCTACTTAGTTGTAATGCCAAACCAGAGCTTAAAGACAGATTTAAATATATATAACTTCATTATGAAAAATAAAAGAGAAGAAATCGCTCAATAAATTATCTAACTGAAAAATAATTGTGTGATTTAAAGAATATTTTCCAGTGGCAAGAAAATCAGAGGTAAGCTTAAGAGTTACTGCAGTTATTCATCTTATATTAAGAATATTTCAAACCTTCTCTTTTGCTTAATGAACTCATTATAATACTCATTTCCAAGATAAATCATCACAGTGTACCAATCCATTCAAAACCACTCCAGCCTGAGGTAAAGCCCGTGCCAAAAATCACTGGCAATTCTACAATTTTGGTGCAACTGCCGCAATCAATAGGCCAACATTTTGAGGGGCAGCGCGAAATTGGACAACGCCAGAAATTAATAGCAAACAAAAACAGAAATTAGCCACCGGCTTTTGGACATTGTTCTGTGTTCTCTGGCAGTGGCATTACCCCATCAAGTGGTGGTGGTGGTGGTGTTGTTGGCCTCATTAGGTCCACGGTTTTGGATTTCGCCGTGGCCGAAAAATGAAATTGTAAACTTGGCTGTATTGGTAATTCAATAGCCGGCAGCAAGCTCTGCGCACTGCGCCACCCAACAAACAGAGCGCATTTTGATGAGACATTGATGGTTCAATCGAACAGCCAAAACCACCCAGCCAGCTGAGCCAATTTAGCAGCCATCAGAGCCGGGAAAGAAGAGTGATCTCCGATAGCCAGAGGATCACCTTCTCGTTAAGTCGTCACCAGGATTCGTTGGGCATCGACCATTGGATCTCGTCCAGGCCAAAGACGTCCACTGACAGTTGACAACAAATATTTCTGACGTTAAATGCGGCTGAATGGCTCCTTTGAGCCCTCAGACTTTCGTCAATGAAAGAGTCTGGGCATCATTGAGATGCTACACACAGAGAAATAAGTGTGTGTGTAAGGCAAAATCTAATAAAACATTTTAACAGAAGACAATTTTTAAATAATAATATACAAAAAAGTCCAAAATAAAGCCTTTTTTGGCCATATCTTTTAGATCAGTTCCAGTTAAAGTTTCAACTGAATTTTGCCATAAGTAAACCTAAAATTAAACTCTCTTAACTGACACATTAAAAACCCCTAGAAACTTGTCAAGATTAAGTGCCATTCGTGGCCTATTTCTCCAAGTGCTCCAGTTGGAATTGAAGCAGCTGAATCCTCGGCAGCCGACTTGCTCATTTCACTAATTTAATGAAGACCTTCTTGCGAGAAAGGCGGCGAGGGGGACAGGTCCATTGTCTCTCCGATACTCTCACCCGAGCAGAGGACCAAGTCTCCCCGGCAGATTGATGAGCTTCGGCTGCAGGCTGCGGTTGGGTCTGGGCGGCTTTTAAAACTCCAGACGGAAAGGGGAGGACCTGCATCAATAATTTGTGTCCGCTGTTGAAAATAATTGACCAAGTTTGTCTGTTTGCGGTTGTGGCATTTAATCTACTTGCAGCTGAAGTTGCCGGCTCCGAAAGCGTCAACTGAGAACAGAGAACTGAAAGCCAAACTGCAGCAGCAGCAGCTGCCTTTCTGAGCAAGAGGACGAGAAACGACAAAAAAAGGCCAGGTCCCAATCCTTGGCTTCCTCCTCTTTGGCCTGCACTTGGCGTAATTGAAATAATTTTAAGTGAAAAATCTGCATTCAAAAAATATTTCAGCGCACACACAAATGTCAGCGAGGCACAAGGAGGAGGAGACAAAATTCCAGGAGCAAGCAGGATGGGCTGTGAATCGAAGTTCAGAACTGGGAAGCTTGGAAAAGATAGTGATTGAGTGAATTCTCTAAATAAAAAATATTTAAATATTTATTTTAAGTCTAGTATACAATCAAGTCTAATAAAATATATAATAAAATATTAAAATAAAGGCTATAATCTATCAATGATATTAATTTTAGCTACCTCAAATCTAAGATTGGACTATCTGTATCATTGTGTCTATAAAGCTTTTTGTTTAGAAATCTTAATACAAGAAATAAAATAAAAATTCATTCAAGATATATATTATTTGACCAACTGATCCTGGCAACCCATATACCTAACCCCTACAGTTCAGCGACTTCTTACAGTCCAGCTCTCTGACCAAGTGCAGACGCAGAAATTTACATGCGCCAATTTCCAGGGGACACGGCACAAAAAAAGAGTCAACAGTTTGCAGCTTTTGCTGCCGAGCCCCGAACATAATCCTGGGCATTAAGGCAAATTGCGGCATCTGCTCCAGCAGCGGCATTTGGGGGATGGATCGCGGGAAAGGGCGGCACCCGAAGGGGGCAGCAGCATTTCGGATCGATCATTGGGAGCCCACCGTAATTTGCTTAATTCGACGCTCAGCTACAGTCAGTCCCGGGCCGAGATGTGCCCCAGCACGAGGCTGCCACTCGTCGATCGACTGATGACGAGGATGATCCTCCTACCCGGCGGGGCCAACGACAGTGCCAATCCCCGCCTGATTCCGCTCAGGCGGCGGCGGCTTCCTCAGCGGCAGCCTCAATTTGCCAAGTGCCTCGGCTGCCCTCGGGGGCAATTTGGAGCTGAGTTTTTATAGCATTTTTTTTTTAGTTCGTTTCAACAATTTTTGCTCGCTTATTTTTTCGGGTGACTGTAATTTTTTTCGGCTGGATATTAAGTGACTGTTCACCCTGGATGGATGCACCACTGTCATCCCGGAGTGTCACAGTTTTTCTACCCCTTTGGGGAGCAGTTAAATTTGATATAAAAATGGCCAGGAAAAAGGGAAACAAATGCCATATGCATGTCCTTTCAATCGATAAACAACAGAGCAACCTTCTCTCTCGGTTGGAAGCTCCATGAATTTATCAGAAAAATATCTGCATAAATTCTTGTTTTGGCATTTCTCCCATCAATTCTAATTCATATTCTGTTCCCTGGCAATGGAAACAACTCGATCCGGAGTGCAAGTGACAGCAACTGGGGCAGGGATTTCGTATTTGCACAACTTGTGAAATGTCAGCTGGAGGCCAAAGCAAATGCATAAATATTATAATTCGATAATATTCGGGTCAATCAATGGTGTACACCATTTGGTTATGTTGTGGCTCAGACTTTGGATTGTATACCGAGTCAAAAATGAATGCATTTCAATTAGAATCTGTTCAAATTGACATCTTTTTTGTACTCCTGCAACGCCATTAAAATGCTTTTCATAGTTAATATATGAAAACAAGAAGCTAAATTATTTAGGAGAGTTTATTTAGGATAAGATTTGTGATAAGATAAGATTAAAACACATGGCCTTTATTTAAAATTAGGCCCCAAAGTACCTTGAGGCACTTATTACATTATTATTGTAATAATAAATGCTTTTTCCAAGTTTTAATATTTTTTTTTAGCAGTTTAAGTTATAGTTTAAGCATCACTTATACCATACATTTATTTATACGTTCTTCCCATTATCGAAACTATTTTAAAGATAATCACGATTAGACTTTCTCTTTGGTAATTCCCCCCCTCAGAGCTCGCGTTAATTTCATTAATCCCGATCTCATTGCACCTCTCTGAGGGGAGAAGAGGGAGACTCATTAAATCTCAACTCGCCCCCTGGCTCATAATTCAGCTCAATATAAATCTGTTAACAAAACGCTTAATCCGCTTTGTGCGCCTTATTTATGGCCATTTGATGGCGCATTATCGCATCAGGCACATGGCACCCGTCAGGCTCTGACTCTGACTCTGGCTCTGGCCCTCGACTCTCCTCCTCTCTGTCCCTCCCAGATGGCGCGTCTCATAATTGGATTCGTCACAGCTTCCCCCGAAGCACCACCATCTCCCCCAGGATCCTCCATGGCCATAAATCGCGGGCTGCTTGAAATGCAAATTTTCGGGACTGCGACTGCAGCTTGTTGAAGTCAGAGCAGTATCATCGGCAGGGCATCAAAGTGGCAGCCAAATGTTTCGCCTGCTGCTGCCCAATTAACGCTGGCGAGGAGCCGGAGCTGGAACCAGGGCAGCGGCAATCAGAGTTCACTTGAACACCTCGCAATTAAGCCCCGCGAAAAGTGCGTCGTGGTGGCTCAGAGTGCGGGTGGAGTAAAAACAAGAAAGCCAGCACGAAGCAGTTCCATGTTCGGGCTCGCATCCTCGCTGCAGGCTGCTGTGCTTGTTGTCGATGGCCAACAAAGGATAATCCAGCAGCAGCAGCAGCAGCCAGGTGAGACTCCCTCTTCCCGGGCTGCACCCACTTTTTGGCCACCAAAAGTCACTACTGGCGATGGTGTCAGTTGACAGCCACCGCTAAACATTTACCAGAGAGAAAAGCAGCCCACGCAGGAGTCAGGGAGTTTAACCGATGGTTTAGTGCCCTGACATCCAGTTGGAATATATCCTCTCAAATATTACATTTTATATTTAACAGACAGTTAATTTTCCTGAAAGTCAGTTAAAAGATATTAGGATGCCTAATAGTTGAGTTTATTAATTAATCATTGATCATAACTCTTTGTCAAGTTAAAATCAAGAAAAAACCTTTCTAACTACATAAAATATTTCACAAGTTCCTAATAACTTGAAAATCCATGCAAAACACTCATTTTAGCCTTTTTAAAGATCCCTTAAAATATTAAATAATTATAGTAGTTCACCTGTGACTCACAATACCCAAGCAAAGGTGACTTTCTGCATTGATAGATGCACAGATACACCACGCCGAGGCAGTTACAACAAGGCGGGGAAAATTGCACAAGTTCTGGGTTCCATTTGTCGCCGCATCGCTGGCAATGGATTAAGTGATTCCGTTGGACAATTGCGCCGAGGTCCTAACCAAGAACAGGCGACGCGCTTGTTACCCCCGGATGCGTATCTAATGCCCAAACAATCCCCCTCTCTCTTTCTCTATCTGCCTCTCTGGGGAGGGGAATCCTTGGTCGTCGCGGCGGCTGGCATTAATTAAACGCACTTAAGTGGCCACAAGTACCTGTGTTGCCTGTCTGGGCCAGGCCAATTAACTTTCGCCCAAGTGAGCAGCTCCTGGAGCATCCTCCAATCAATTAGTTCCGCGCTGAGGAGCGGGAACTCT